ATCTGATACAGTAGTATGGAATGAGGGAGCTTTTTCATTGTGTTTTCTAAACTGTGATACAGAATTGCTGCTGAAATATAAAAAGACTGTGCAAAGTGCAGCTAAAATGGAGGAGCAGAATTAACGCTCAAGATGTTTGTGGTTAAAGGTGTGAAGGGCAAGGGAAAAAATAGAAAATTTTGGATCACCCTCGCCTATTTTTTTCCCCAAAGCTTTAGTTCCTAAGATCGGATTATGGAATATTTTATTTTAGAATGAAGAATAAAGATACAGTATTTAAGAGAAGGTATTCTCAAATTTTCTTCTTCATACTGTTTCTAAAAACTATGGAGCAGGTAGACTTTTAATAAGACTATCTCCCTCAAATCTTTCTTTAGAAGAATGAGTATTTTATGGCTTCTTGGCACTATGGAGGACATGAGGAGACAAAATAATTTTATTTATTTTACTAATGTCTGTGGTATATTCTGCTTTTTTTGCCTGCATCTCATAAACTGGCAAAATGAAGAGGAGATAAAATAATTTTATGAGGCAATAAACTCAAATGTCTTTGGGCACATTGCTGATTTTTAAAGTCATCTAGGTAGGTCTTTGGATATTGATTTATGGTCTTGGCTAAAAGATGGCATAGGCATGTGAAATAACATCCTAAATGTTGTGCTTAATTTAAAATTGGAAAGCAGTCTTTGAAGTAGCTCTATTTTTGCCTTATTTGGTAGTTCTGCTTTCCATCTCCATTTTCAGTGCTCTTTTTCACCGACTGCAAGAACCCACCCCAAAGGTACCAAACATCATAGTAAGCTAATACAAACATTTGCCTGAATGCTACAGTGCCATTGTACCTAGTGCCATATCCATTGTGCTAGAGGGCAGACCTCTGTTGCTTTCCAACAACAATTCTATTTCTTAGCTAGTTGTGCAGTACAGACTACATGCATATGCTTATTTTTGGTGCAACAGTTAAATCCAATGTTACATTTGGAGGGTTTTCCCTGTTCTAGTATCATGTTGGTTCTGGGCCTTTAAAAATTATTTCTATAAGCCGAAACAGACCAGCCCAAAGAGGCAATGTGATACTGCCCCTGAAAGAGCCAGCACAAAGAAAACAGCAGAAAGCCACTCCTTTTTGTGCTGGCAAAATAGTGTTTTTTCTGCTGCGGCAGTGGCTTTTTGATGCTCCTGCGGTGTGTGGTGTCTGAACGCTGCACTGCCGGAGTGCCAAAAAGCTTCTGCTCATGTGTTGAGGTGGTGGCTTCACGGCGGCTTCCCAGCATCTTGAGGGTGTGCATCTTACGTACACTGCGCCCCACAAGCCGCTGGGAAGTTGCCGCAAAGGGACTGTCTGTTTTGGCTCTATGTCCAGGACCCCCCCGTGGATACTAAAATCTGTGGCTGCTTAAGTCCCATTGTATACAATCCCCTAGTAAAATGGTAACCCTTATATAAAATAGCAAAATCAAGATTTGCCCTTTGGAATTTATATATACAGTTGGCCCTTAGTATCCATGGACTTGCCATCCATAGATTCAAGTGTTCATGGATGGCAAGCCCGCGTTGTTCCCAATGGCGGTGTGTGCATATGGCCGTGCTGCCATCAGGGACAATGGAAGTTCTGTTGTTCCCAATGGTGGCGAGGCTGTGTGCACACACCACCACTGGGGACAACAGGGACTATCCCTATTGGCAATGTGGGCACATGCATGTGCCATCATTGAAGTCTTGTCATTAGTCTCATCATTAGCACATGTGCATTGAAGTCTTGTCATTAATTAGCACATGCATGTGCTACCATTGGGG